TCATGTTCATTAGACAAATACGAAGAAATGATAACGGACAAAGTATCGTTTAAACCCAAATGAGCATATTTTAAATGAAAAGGTAGGGATTTCTTCTCCAGTTCTGGAGATACAATGATGGAAGGTTGCAAGGTCTTCAAATCCGCTATAGTTGGCTGCAAAAACTCAAAACACTCAAATTGGGGCAAAATTGCGCCATTTTGGCTTCTTTTTCTACGATCTCCAAATCTACTTTTAAGTCTTCCACCATCATTTGCTAGAGTTCCTCTATGATTGCCCCTATTGTAAAGCACTCCTCGACTTCATCCAGGAGACGCATCGCATCAAGGACATTGAAGGTTACCTGCTCATCATTGACCTTCATAGTGATCTCTCATTTCGTAGCATTCAATATTGTATCTCCAGTTGCTAAAAATGGCCTCCCTAGAATAATCGACACCTCAAGATCTGCTTCATAATTCAAAATTATAAAATCGGTGGGAAAAATAAACTTACCAACTTTAACAAGCACATCTTCTAATTTTCCTTTCGGTTTCTTTATGGACCTGTCAGGTAGTTATAAAGTGAAAGTAGTGAGACAAGTTTCTTCTATATCTAACTCTTTAATGACAGATATAGGCATAAGATTAATGCTCACTCCTAAGTCACACAATGCTCTTCTTAGGTTCTTACCTCCTATTGGGCAAGGGATAGTGAAACTACCTGGGTCCTTACACTTAACAGGCAATGGATTCCCCAGAGCATCACTATTACACATTATTAAGGCTACCGTCTCATGCTCACCTAACTTCTTATTCCTAGATATGATGTCTTTGAAAAACTTGGTGTAGTTAGGCATTTGTTCTAAAGCATCTATGAGAGGTATATTTATATGCAACTGTTTTAGAATCTCAAAGAACTTCTTAAAATGACTATCCTGATTCTTTTTAACTAGCCTTTGGGGGAAAGGTGGAGGAATCTTAATATTACCTACCTGTGGGGCAGTGTTGGGCATTACTTGTTTACCTTTATCCACCTTCTTACCTTTTTCTTCTGAACTTAGGGGTTCTGCTTTCTCTTCTTGTTGTGGATTGGAGGTGGATGCAGGAACAGGTGTAACTGCATCACTTCCTTCGTCTGGAAGTGAGGGTCCTTCATAACTTAGTCCGCTTCTTGTGATAACCGTCTTACAATGTTCCTTTCCCTCACGACCTCGCTTCGGGTTCTCTGTATGTCCAGGCCATGTACCTTAGGGTCTAGATTTTTGGTCATTTGCTATTTGCCCCACTTGTATCTCCAAGTTCCTTATCGCAGCATCAGTTCTTGTCATAAACTCTTTTGTTGAAGCTTCACTTCTTGTCATGAATTCTTTCATCATGGCCTCCAAACTTGCGTTGCTACCATCTTTCTGAGTAGTATTTTGACCTCTTTGCTGATTGTATTGTTGTGGACGCGATGCCAGTTGAGTTAGAAAACCAAGAGAAGTGTAGTTTTGCTGGTATTTTTGAGCAAGTGCTTGCGCACTGCTACTAGCTACTCCTTGGTTACTCCAAGAAAAGTTTGGATGGTGCCTCCATCCAGGGTTGTAAGCGTTTGAATATGGCTTGAAATTTTGCTGGGAACCTTGACCTACATAGAAAATAGACTCTGGATTAGCTGGACAGTTCTCATACAAGTGGTTATCACCATAATAGACACAGATACATCTGAAATTTGTAAACAGGAGAGGTTTCAGGTATTGCCGAAACGTGTCAGCTGGATTAACATCTGGTTCGTAGCCGCCATTTGGGCTTGTATTGAAGCTACTGTATCTAACTCAAAGACTCCGACTGATACTTGCTTCTTTGGCAATAGCCTTCCTATTTCGCATTGGTCATTAATGTCTGTCATCTAGTTTAAGATATCAACGATCTCATTAACCGACTTTTCTAACAACGAGCCATTGGCTACGGTGTTCAACATCATTCTCGATGAACGATCCAATCCTCTATAGAATTGTTCAATCTGCACACATGCGGGCAATCCATGGCTCGGGCATCTTCTCGGTAATTCCTTAAAATGCTCCCAAGCTTCTTGAACTGTTTCGTTCTTCTTTTGTCAAAAAGACACAATGTCTTCTTGAAGGTCTGGTTCCTGGTCAAAGTGTGGTACTTTGCCAAAAATTTCTCTGTTAGTTCCGCCCATGTGTTGATAGAATTTGGTTCTAGTGCGTTTAGCCAAGTCCTTGCACCAGTCCTGAGAGAAAAAGGAAACATTTTTAATCTTAGTGCATCCTCATAGACACCAGGAAGTTAAAATGAATTCGCTATTTCAATAAAGGATTTGAGATGGGAGTAAGGATCTTCGTTAGTCAGTCCTTTGAATTGGCCCATCGTCTGTAACATCTGGAACATGACTGGCTTGAGCTCGAACTATGCAGCTTGAGGTAAAGGATTATTTATCCCAAAATTTAGGTTGTGGAACGCATGAGTAACATAATTCTGCATGACTTCATCTCGGTTATCTGCTAGGAGGATCGRATTAGGCACTTATCCTGCTCGGTTTTCTACTCCTTCACCTGCCATATCTCCATTCACTAGTGGATTTTGCGGCGGTGGAGAATCTTGTGGATTTTTATTCATCTCGATGGTATCTTCTTCAATTTCTACTTCTTCAACTTCTTTCTCTTTTTGATTTTCTCAACATTTTCTCAACCTCTGCTCACGCCTTATCCTCTTAAGGGTTCTTTCAATCTCTGAATCAAAGGTCAACCAACCAGACCATGTGCTCATACAAAACTCCCTTAAAGGTTAGATATTACAATTAAGTCCAATGACAGCGGTATGCAACAATCAAACAATGAAACAATTCACTTGAAAAGAATATGAATTGAAAACTTAAGTCCCCGGCAACGGCGCAAAAAACTTGTTGGGACTTTCTCTACCTTTAAAAAGATTAGAGACTCGTACAAGCGCACACAGTCACAAGTAATACTCGGAAGTAATCCAAGGTCGAATCCTCAGGGACTTGTTGCTTTTCAAAATCAAGTAATGCAGTGAAATAGTTCAA